CCCCAAAACCCCAAAACCCCAAAACCCCAAAACCCCAAAACCCCTTGGAGACCTTTCAGATCGAATAATTATTAAAATACTTTGATAAGTCATTCGCTGTCAAAGTCAATGTTCATCTTCTGGTTCTGGAACTCAAAAATCGCTTTCGAATGGTCCAGCTTTATGTTCTTGTAGTACTGAGCCTCTTCATTGATCATGCTCTTTGCCTTGAGCACAAAGCTGTCTGAGAAATTACCCATTGAGCCTTGAAGAGCGTACTTGTGCACATAGATTGTCTTATTTTTTGGAATATGGACTTCAACACAGTCGTTCTTGACAGAATAAGTACCGAAGTCAACCTCGACCTTCTTTCTCTTCAGTTTCTCCAAGAAAATCTGAGGTTCATAGTGTGTCGAAGTATAGCAGACCTTCCCGTCCTGTCTAAATCACAAGAAATTATAGTAAGTGACCTTATGAATAGGATGGTAGTCGCCAAACTCAGTAAGGCCGTCATGCCAGTATTCTACCTTGGCAAAGTAAGCGCCATCACACCTTACTCTGGGACGGAAGATGAACATATTCTTCCAATCCTGAAAAATTGTCATATATTTCTTTGTGGCAGAGTATATTCCAGTCTTCTCAAAAAGATCAAGGCATTCGATCTTGAAACACTTTTGGATCTCCTTTGAAGTGTATAATTCATACCAGAATGAATTTGTCATGGCGACCTTGGTAAGTGTCTTACAGTCAAGGTACTTAAATATGAAGATAACTATATCTCTGGGCATGTCTTCGCTCCAAGAGATTACTTCATCATGGGCAGTGTCTAGAGTCAGATCGTTCTCCAGCTCATCCTCCTCCTGCTTCATCTGGGTGTCTGAGACACAGTGAACCAGGAGATCCTCCTCTGGCACGTCATGTAAATGATGTAAGGATTGTTCCTCGGTTTGCTCCATATTTTGTATTATTTTCTTAAAAAATTATTTAAAACAACAGCATTAAAAACTTATTAGTGTAGATTTTAGCCAATTAGATCTCAATTTTACAGTTTTAGTTAGGGGTTTTGGGGTTTTGGGGTTTTGGGGTTTTGGGG